AGCAGAGGTCGATGACGTTGCCCTCCCGGAGTCGGACAGGACGTGGTATAGATCGATGTGCACGCGCAGGGCGTATTTGGCCCAGACCTTGGGGTAGCTGCCCGCGAACTGGCCAAAGGCATGCAGTGTGCAGCTGAACGGCACCTAGCACTGTTGAAGCACGCCTCATGCCATTTAAAAGGAACTCCCAGTTTGGTGCGGCATTTCAAGGACCAGGAGGCGGCGACGTACTTGGAAGGATGGCGTGATGCTGACCATGCCGGGTGTCTTCGCGTTCGCAAGAGTACTTCTCGAGGGTGCGTTTTCGTTGGTCTCCATTGTATCGTTCATTGGTGCAGGGGTCAATCTGTCATCCCCTTGGGCTCTGGCGAGGCCGAGTACTACAGCCTAGTGATTTTGATGTCTGATTTGTGCGGCATACGCGATCTAGCTTTAGATTGGAATTTGGCTTATCATCTAGGCGCGAACGTCGACGCGGCAGCCGCTATCGGCATGGTTTCGCGACGAGGCCTGGGTAAGACCAAACACGTTGACAGTGTGTGTCTCTGGGCCAAAGAGGCCATAGATCTATTGAAGGTGGGTCTGCGGAAAAGCCAGGCAGAAGATATGCTCGCAGATCTTCTCATTAAGTTCTTGGCCAGAGAGAAGGTCGAGAGGTTCATCCGGGGTCTGAGTTTCACTTTCCGAGGAGGGCCGGCACAATTTGGCCGTTGAAACTTCAGGTTTTTGTGAACTGGCTTGGGCCAGGCTCGGCGCATACTCGCGCAAGCGCGGGCTACCGCCCAGCGTTCGCCCTCGGGAGGCGTGAAGAATTTTTCCCTTCCCCTGAGCCCAATTGCGAACAGCATGATGTGTAGCATGTCAGGGAGCATGGCTTTACATATCCATGTCGTTACGAGTTGATCGAAACATATAGTTGATATTCGGAACGAGAAGAAGCGCGGGAATGAGGCCAGCACTGCAGCGGAAACACGATTCGTAATGAGCGGGTGCGCGGAAATGAGGCCAGCGTTTCAACGGGAGCACGATTCGGAACGAGCGGAAGCCCGAAAATGAGGCCAGCGTTTCAGCAGGAACAACATTTTGAAAACTCCAGTGAGAACCATTTCCTTGAAATCTTGTGTGCGAAAACAATACGCGGAGGGGGGCCAGACATCTTCCGGACGTCATCCAGGGAGAGAGGAGAGTAGTATTCATATTGTGTATTTGTGGATGGGGGAGGGGGGAAGGGGGTAGTGGGGGGGGGGCAGGGCAAGCTAGGTGCGTTAGCGTCACACCTGACGTCCTACCCTACCCTCCCATCACTTATCATGGTGTAGATCGCCTACCTATTCGCACAGTCCGATGTCGAGCAGGGCAATGATCCCAAGAGGGTACGCGGAGGATGGAAAAAGCATGGCGTAGAAGGGCACGGCAGAGTTTAGCATGTCATAGCCGGCGTGGGTGGCATTGCGTAATGAAGCATTGCATCACAAAGCACAGCAACGCAAAGCATGGCATCGCACAGCGGTGAACATCACAGCATCTCATTGCATGCCGTTGCATGGCACTGGATGACTTGAATTGTAAGTAGCCCGTCTACGAGAGGACAGGGCCTGTCCGCAATGCCGGCTCCATGTCATCCGCAACCGGGCCTGACCAAATGCCGAGTGCCGTCCCGAGGCGTGGGAACGAGGCCACCTCTGCAGCTGGAACCAGATTTTGAATGGCCGAAGCGCGGAAATGAGGGCGGCGCTGCAGCGGGAACACCATTTTGGAAGTACCAGAAACTACCAGTTTTCAAAGTCACATCGGAACAACCAGATAATGCAATTTTGTGTTTAGTAAAGCAGTACGAGGAGAGGACGGGACACTTTCCGGACAGAGGAAGGGGAGAGGAGAGTAGTATTCATATTGTTTAATCATAGCTCGGGTATGGATATGGGGGAGGGGGGAGGCTTCTTCGAATCGCCCCTGCTTCTTAGAAGGCGCTGGCCTTGTCTGTAGATGTAGGGCCGGTGCCTTCTAAGAAGCGACACCCCGAGGAGCCTTCCCCTCCCCCCCTCCTCCTCTTCCCTTGCGCGCGCCGCCAACAACAGAGGCCGAGAGTGGTCCCAAACCCTCCGTCGTGATCTGTTCAGGAGGGAAAAAACACACAGACACAATTCATCGTCGATTCCACGGAAATTTGCGAAAATATGAGAAGTGGGGGGGAAGACAGAAACCCAGAACATATGTATAAGTATTGGGAATCCTGGGAATTGTGTCTATTTATTTAATCGCTTCGCTCATTCCGCCGGCCCTGGAGCGCTATTTGGGGCCTCTTGGGGCCGTCTTGGGGGCCTCTTGGGGGCTTTTTGCGAGCGTCTTGGGGCTCTTTGGCGGCGTCTTGGGCTCCCCTAGGGCCTCTTAGGGGGCTCTTGGGGGCCCCTTGGGGCGGGAGGGGGGGTAGTCGTTTGCAACCACCCCCTGGGAGGCCACGATCCTCGTGAGGGGTGGCGAAAAATAGCCTCCCCCCTGGGGATCGCCCGGGACCCGGCCGGGGGTCAGCCGGGGTTCTGTTCGTCCGGGGGCCCCCAGGGGCCGCCCCGCGTGCGCGAACTAGAAATATTGTTCAGTAGTTGCCGGAGATTTGAGCACGCCTCTGGCCCGTTGGGCCGGCGAATTTGTGTGCCCCAGGGCCCCTTATCTGTTCTCAGCGCGAGGAGGCTTGGGGGTGCGGATGTGAACTTTTTTCAGCCCGCGGGCGCCAAGTGGTTCAAGACTGTCAGGCACCGGTCAGCAAGCGGTGGTGCATCGGAGGCGAATTGAGGCACGAGGGCGAAAGAGAAAAGAGCGCGAGGAAAGACAGGAAGGGGCCCGTTCAGACCATGCAAGTCGGCGCGGAGATGCCGAAGGAGAACATGCGAGCTGCGTCCTAGCAGCAGGGCCTGGGCCATCTTGAAGTGGAAGACCTCGAAGAGGTGCAGGGTGCCAAAGAATCTAGGCGGATGTGAACAGAGAGAAGAGCCGATCTGTTTGCGGCCGGCAGGCCAGGTAGGCAGAGCTCCGCCACGCGCAGAGGGGGGCAGGGGGGAGGTGGGACGGGCTTCTTAGAAGCGCCCCTGCCTCTCAGCAGGCGCGGGCCTGATCTATAGATGCAAGGCCGGCGCCTTCCAAGAAGCAGCCTCCCTCCTGAGAAGCCCTCCCCCCCTCCCTCTCACCCCCCGTGCGAAGCAGCCTCCCTCGTGAGAAGCCTCCCACCCCTCCTCCCTCCTGAGAAGCCTCCCTCCCCCCTTCCAAGAAGCAGCCTCCCTCCTGAGAAGCAGCCTCCCTCCTGAGAAGCCCTCCCTCCCCGCGTGCGCGCCGCCAGCAGGCGGTCCGCACGCGGGCCGCACCGGCGTCTCGCGTGCGGGCGGGCCGCGCTGCGTCTCGCGGGTCTGCGCGCGCCTGCCGCGGGGGCGTGGTGCGCGGGGCGCGGGCTCGCGCGCGGGGCGCGGGTCGCGAGGCGTGGGCCGCTGGCCGCGCCGTGGGCGGGCTCGAGGGGCAGATGTTTCACCACCACTGCCAGAGGCCACCAAAGGTGGGAGAGGGGGGAGGAGGGGGGGGAGAGGGGGGAGGAGGAGGGGGAGAGGGGGGAGGAGGAGGAGGAGGAGGAGGAGGAGGAGGGAGGAGGAGGAGGAGGAGGAGGAGGAGGAGGTCGCAGGTCGCATAAGTGTCGCAGGTCGTCCCACAGGTCCCAGAGGTACTGCCGCTCTGACAGGTTCCACTGGCCCATAGGTCCCACAGGTGTCGCAGTTCTCGCATGCCCGCAACGTCTCGCAGGTCTCGCATGTTCGCTGCGTGAGCTGGGCAGGTACGCCCGGACGCCGCGCGCGTAGCCGCGATGCCAAAGACGTGCGAGACTCGGCAGGCGCCTCGACGTTTTCTGTCTTGCCGGGTGACGACCACGATGACGACAACGACGACCACCATGATGGTAATGATGATGGTGAAAGTCATGGCGATTATGGTGATGGTGATGCTGCTGCTGCTGATGATGATGATGCTGATGATGACGATGATACTGCTGATGCTGCTGATGTTCATGCTGATGATGACGACGATCATGATCGTGAGACGCATGACGAGGACGACGACGATATGCTGCGGGTGAGAATGAACAGTGCTGCTGATGATGCTGCTGGTGATGATGATGACGATGCTGCTGCTGCTGATGATTATGATGGTGCTGCTGCTGATGCTGATGATGGTGATGCTGATGATCATGATGACACTGCTGCGGATGTTAAGGATTATGTTGGTGACGAGGGTAGTGATGATGAGGATGTTTATGATGATGCTCATGATTATGATGGTGCTGATGATGCTGATGGTCCTGGTGTTCATGGTGATAATGATGATGGTGATGTCAATGGTGATGATGATGCTGGTGACGATGATGCTGACGATGATAATGATGATGCTGGTGCTGATGCTGATGACGACGTTGACGACGATGATGATGGTGATGCTGATGAGTATGCTGATGCTGCTGCTGCTGATGATGCATATGATGATGATGATGATGATGATGATGATGATGATGATGATGATGATGATGATGATGATGATGATGATGATGATGATGATGATGATGATTATGATGCTGATGCTGATGATGATGATGATGATGATGATGATGATGATGATGCTGATGCTGATGCTGATGCTGCTGATGCTGTTGCTGTTGCTGATGCTGATGCTGCTGCTGATGATGATGATGATGATGCTGATGGTGATGATGATGAGGATGCTGATGCTGATGATGATGTTGCTGCTGCTGATGATGGTGGTGATGATGTTGATGGTGCTGATGCTGATGATGCTGATGACGGCGATGCAGATGATGACGATGATGAGGATGAGGATGAGCATGAGCATGATGGCGACGACGATGCCAATGACCAGAAGGTGAGGCGGAGGATGATGAGGATGGGGAGGAGGCTTTAGTTAGCGTGTATTCGCACGCTGTCCCTCGGCACCGTTGTCCCTCGGCCAAGGATCTCAGCTTGGAGATCGCGAGGCCGCTGCTAGGCGCCAGCCCCATCTCACCCGTGACGTTCTTGTTGGATGGGGGCCCACGTGGAAGAGGAGAGGGAGAGGGAGAGGGAGCCCACGTGGATGGGAGCCCACGTGGATGGGAGCCCACGTTGTCCGTGCATGCGTTTTCGTGGAAGAGGAGAGGGAGAATGAGGAGGAGGAGGAGGAGGAGGCGGAGGAG